TTCGGAACTTCATCTATTATGGGTGGTACTATTAGTAGCAGATCTTTTTCTACGAGAAAGATCTGTTACCAATGGTACTACCCGTAATACTACCGGTCATAGATGAAGTTGACAAGAAATGCTCGTAATGTCTTTTATTTATTTTTGATAAAAAGATTTTGCATAGATTGTAAAGATTTTTGGTTGACTATTGGCTGAAAAAGGTTTACATTTTTTTTTGCCATAGTATTCTGAACTAGACAAAAAATTTTTAGATTATCGCATTTCATGATGTTGCACCGCAAGCTCCTGTTCATTTCCTAGTTGTGCCGAAGAAAACCATAGATATGCTTGAGAATGCAACAGACGAGGTTTTCAGACTGTTATAGCGTTATTCATTTTTTTTTTTTTAAAAAATTACTCCATTTCCCGACGAGTGCACTTTTCACTACAAAAAAAAAAAAAACTGTAGCAGTTACAGATGGTGCCAGTAATAATAATTTTAGGATGAAGCACTGTTGGGAAAGTTGCTTCTGGGAGCCAAAAAGGTGGCAGAAATGCTTGGTGTTAAGGGTGGTTATCGTGTAGTCATCAACAACGATTATAACGCTGGACAAGGAATATATCATCTTCATTTGCACGTCATTGGTGGTGGACAGCTTGGTTGGCCACCTTGTTAAATCTCTTTGGCCCTACGGATGGAAGTAACGTAAGAATACTTGTTATTTATAAATTTGAAGATTACGTCATATATCTGTGATGATGCATCTTGCTGTTTATTCTAATTATTACTTAACAGATTTTAAAGCTCATGATTATCGGAAATCTTGTATAAATAACCATCTATATGATTGTCAATTAATGTTTGTAAGTCTATGCTTTCCTGTCATTTTATAAATGGGACATTCATGCCTACTGTATGCTTATGGCTGCTTAAAACAATAAGAAGGTATATACAATTTTTAGTTATTTTAATTGAAAAAAGTAGATGATTGAGTATTTGTAGTGTTTTCTAACTGGTGAGATTTCTCCAGGTATTTTTGTTTATTTGAAAAAGTAAAGCCTTTAGTCTTCGACCTTCTTATTGAGTAAATGACGACAAGTTAGATGTACACTTTTTCAACGGTTTCTTTTGTGGTAAATTTATTTCAAAAGACTTACCTTTTTACTGTAGTTTTTAGAGTAAACATTAGTTTTTGAGTTATTAGAGTAATGATTTTAGATTTCTGTTGTTTTTTTTTTTTTCAATCTGTATTGTCCATTCATAATTACCGAAAAGTTTTTGCTCAAAAAAGAAATTTCTTTTTCTTCATGTTGAAAATCCCATCTCATTCTCGTCTTTTTTTTAATACCTTTTCAATCATTATATCGCCACTTTTCGCTCAGCCACTCAGCCCAGTAAACCTCTTTTTAAATGATGAATCTGTCTGAATCGTCTGCGTAAGGGAAATCAAATGTGGCCTGATTAGCTCTTTTAATTTGAAAATTTCCAACTGCTGTGTAAGTCTTTTACTATCTACTTTAATAAGTGAATCTAATCTGTTGTTGATTCTAACAAAGAATTGGATTTATTGTCTGTACTACTTTTATTGCTAGAATTTTTTGTAATGCTGCTAATTTGCTGCATATTACGTCACTTTGCCAAGTATTTAGCGGGTATTTGACCGTTTTTAAGAATTTTTTACATTTTAAGCATAATATTTTAACAATAAGATCCCTTTTTATTTTCTACTGGTCAACTGTGAAATCTTACTGAAAATTAATATGAAGTAAACTGTCTCGCTACTTCTGATAATCAAATAACCGACCAGTAATCGGCTGCAATTGTTGAAATGTTACCGTGGATATCTGTAATTGTTTTTTTTTTTTTTTTCACTCATCAGC